AGATGATAATGAAATATTTAAAATGCAGATACTGTAATTTAAGCACACATGTTCTGTTCCTATACATCATATACGTACATCTTATAGAATATAAGACTATATATAATAATATAGAAGAGAAAAATATTAGATAAAAAGCTCCATAGGAATGCTTTTGTTATTTATTGTTATTGAAAAATAGCAGTAGCAATGATCTGGAGTTTCTGAAAATATTCTTAGAATGTTTAGAAAACTTTTTCATTAGTCTAAACTCGTCTGAGATTTGATTTAGATGCTTCTTTTACTTATTTAATCATACCATACTTTTAATACTTTTATTTATGTAACAGATATTCCAGATGTTTTTTCTAATGACCCAAAATAGCTGTACAGATTTTTTTATTAGGAAAAACAAGTAATTAAAGCATATTCACAGTGCAATCTAATGTACATTTATTCTAAAATAAGTCCATTATGCTCAGCACTGGCTGACCTATGTGTTTTTATGAGTATAACCTATAAAGTTTTTTAAAGCTATGAACCTCTATAATAGTTATTCCTATTCTCTATCTGCCCATTCATCTTCTGCGATCATCACTCCAGGCCTTTCTTCAATTATTCCCTCTGAAACTCACCACTAGGGCCTTTTTTAGTCATGGTTCCCTTATTACAGACTATTCTCTCAGAAAGAATTAAGATTGCATAGTGCCAACATCATTTTTTGAATGCTGAGTTAAGACTTTTTACAGTTAATATGACTTTAACAATAAAGACGGAAGTAATCAATGCTTGCTAAACGCAAACACTGTTAATTATTAATTAGATTTATTTTAAGAGATTGATAGTGAGAAATATTACCAATTTGTTTGGTTGTACCAAAATATACATGAAGGAAATGTATGGTGTCAATCAAAAAAAAAAAAGAGTAAACTATTGTTAATTAGATTGTCATGACAATAATTGCAAGAATATTTACAGGTTAAGTGATACATCTTACACCCCTGTGTTTGGATGGTAAAAGATGTTACATTTTATAGTTACAAATAATACTTATTTAGCTATTTAATTTATTAATATCTACTTCTGAAGCTGTTTACAAATAACACCTCTGTCTGTGCCACACTAAATTTCATGTACAGTAATACTAATGTTGATGTCAGGTGATTTTTTTTTAATGTTTGGTGGAAAAACAGAGTATGCTGGGGCTTTCCTTTTCTTACTAGTTAAGGAAGGAAATTTGTTTCTTGCACTATGTGGCTCCAATTAAAAGCTTTGACTCTTTTTAAATTATTCATAAGGAAGGGCCTATATAAATATAAATAAAAATCATAATACATTTCTTTATAACTGCCATTCTATTTTACTTTGATGGCTATGTCTAAAGTTGAGTCCCAGTAAAAATGTTGTGGCACTATTTTTCTTATTCTTTTTTTCTTGGCTCATCTTACATTTCTTTCCTTGGACAAAAATATTTATTGAAAAGACAGAACGTAAGACATATATGGTAATTACATTACTGTACATGCAAGGTAATATATTGGCTGGAGTCTGCTCTGACCTAGTCTATGGTTTATCCTTTTATCGGTAGTAAAGCAATACAAGGAGTTAACAATGAGATCATATAGCTGTCTTCTAAAAAATGAGACAAAAGTGTCATGGAAAACTAACATCATTATAGCGTACTGCAAAGAAGATAGCTGGATTTGTATTTTAGAAGGTTAAAACACAATCTTCTTTGTAGTACGCTATAATGATGTTAGTTTTCCTTGACACTTATGTCTCATTTTAGAGAAGACTATAAGTTCTTTGAGATGGGTGATATAGTTTCAAGCCGTTAAACTATACTAGTTTTTTAAATCCTTTTAGTAAATAATGGTGGGAACAATAATTTAAAATTTGAATTTGCTCTTTACCGTAAGGGCACATATGTTGCTTTCAAACTGTTTAGGAAACCCATCATGTGTTTTTTTTTTCTGTGATGGAATCTTCTTCTATTGCAAAGAACTTTGTACCTTGGAATAAATTCACTATAAGTTCTTACTGAGTACTGGCCAGGCATGTTGTGTCTCATTGTGTGGGCAGAGAATGGACTCTATGGAACATTATCAGTATTCTTTAGCAGCAACACATTGAAATTGGGATGATGGGCCAGCTGATTTTCAGAAAAGCAAGTCCAACTTGACTGAACCTCTTGTTTAGGATCACTAGACTGGAAAACTACAGAATTAGAAAAGTACAAGTAATGCTGGCAGCAAAATACTGTAATACAAAGTGATCCTGCTTAGTGTACCTGTTGTACCTTCTTTCAGGATACTCCAATCCATTCCCCAAAGTCATCCTCTTTCAGCACAGCCTTCTAACTTGCACATGGAATATAAGAGCTACACCACAAGCTTACTGTAGAGTTTCCCAGCCTCACCTAGGGAAAAAAGGAGTAATGCAGGGTTTTATACTTTTGTCTACCTTCACTGAGAGCTGAAGTTCATAAAGCTTTGATTAATTACTGCAAGTACATCAAGAATACATGGAAATCAACTCCTGATGGTCTATTCCAAACATGCATCTTGCACGGATATACAGTAATTGTGGTAAATCCCACTGGGAAGCTGAGAGGGTGGTTTTTTTTTTTTTTTTTTTTTTGCAGTCTTAGGGCTGACAGGCAAACCACTA